AGGACGTGTCGGGAGGTCTTCTCCGCCAGGTTGAATGAAGTTAGACAACTCCCTGGATTTGTGGGATATTGCTACAGATTTTGGGGGTTTTTTTCCCCCCCCCGCTGAGACAGGCCATAATGATCTCTCCCACCCTGCTTTAATTTTAATCAGCCCATTTAAAGCCTTGCAAACTTTTCTCCATGTCATTAAGACATTCTGCTTGCTTGAACATCGACTAGATAAAAATATTAGGAAAATTAGGATATTAGGGTAACATTTTCTCCCGAGGAGGGTGGTGAAGCACTGGAACGGGTCACTTAGAGAGGTGGTGGGGTCTCCAAGCTTGGAGGTTTTTAAGACCCGGCTACACAAAGCCCTGGCTGGGATGATGTAGTCAGGGCTGGTCCTGCTTGGAGCAGGGGTTTTGCCTAGATGTGAGCTCCCTTCCAAACCTAATTTTCTAATTATTCTAAAAAACAGCACTTTCATCTCCTTTCTATACACTGACTTCTGGCCGGTTCATCTATCAACAGCCAGATCCTTAGCGTGATACCCATCAAAGCGCTGCTGTCGAGGGCATAGCAGTGCGAATTCACATCAGGGTGAGAACCTGCCTCCGAATCTTTTGCAAACTAGGAGGCAATATTACGGCGAAAATCAAAGCTTGGAAGAACAAGACAGATCCTGTTCTGCCCTGGGTATCCACTGAACCAGCAGCTTGCTGCTGTTTTCACGATGCTTAGCAAAAGCCAACGGCAGAAGAGGTGCAGAGGCTCTCCGGTTGTGACTGCGGTGCTGACAGTTGGGGACATTATCGGGTCGGCTCCTCGAGAGGCGTAAACCAGCCCGGGCACTGAAGCGACATCGGTTTATGCCGCTGAGGATCCGTCTCTGTTAACGCTGGCCTCGAAGCAGAGCTCATCTGCGACAGGAGCCATGGCAAGAGATTATAAATACAGAAGGCAGTGCAGAGGCGTTGCACAGAGCATCTGTTCCCGTGATAGCGCTCAAGGCTGCCGGGTTAGGAGGAAACAGCTAAAAAGAAATAAAATTCCTGGGTGCTTTTGGTTGAGGTGTTTTTCACCCTCTTTGAGCTTTTCAACCCCCTTTGAGATCATAATTTAGTGTCTGGGGGTCTTGACACCGCTCAGCTTTTAGGGTGACAGGTCTAGCGCAGACCCCAACCCGCAGGGCTTGCCAGCTCACGCCAGTACAACTGTGCAGCTGCCCCAACAAGTCGGTCAATGCTTTATCCCCACTGCAGATTGTCGGCCCGGTTGCAGCCTACCCCTGTTTTCATCTGAGCGCCAATGGTGAGATCGGGGGTGATGCCACTAAAACCTGTGGGGTTCCTCCCATTTCGATGGGTGGAATCCGGTTCTGATTTTTGCACGGGTGCAACCTCGCCGGGCTGTGGCATCTGAGTCACGGGGGCAAGAAGGTGGCCGGCAGAAGCGAGAGGTGCGTATGGAAAGGAAGGACACCTCTCTTTTCCCACCTCTCTGTGCTTCACGCTGCACAAGGGGGGTTATAAATTGCACTGCAGCAAAGGCTGAAACAGCCCACACGAGTGCACTGCAAAAGGCACGGGAGCGATGGTTTAGGCCGGCTCTGGAGGGCGTAACGTGCCCCGTGCTTTCCACCCTTGCTGTCTCTGGACAGTTGTCTGCTGGGGCTGGTAGCTATGTGAACGTGCCCACGCTCTGAACTCAGCCCCTGGGCCATAAACCCAAAGCAATCCAGCTATGGAAGCGAGCAAGATTTTAGGCTAGCCCTTTCTCCCTCTCAAGAAGCACAGCCGCAAAGCCCAAGCAGGTTCATTGAGCCCGGTGGCTCACCACCTTTTTAAAGACTCAAAGCCCCTTGGGAATGCCAGCTTTTAGCTTTCACTCCTTTCTGGAGAATGGAAAAAAATGCTAGAGTGAGTCTTACGTGGCAAAGGACTGAGAAAAGCCGCAACAGGGCAGCAGGGTTGGGACACTCTGGTTTCCTATTTGGAAGCTCTGGGTTTATCTTTTGGGGGTGTTGGTTGTAGTCGTGTTGGTCTAAGGACACAGGCAGACAAGGTTTGTTGGGTAAATGTGATATCTTTTATTAGACCCACTAAGTAGTTGGACAAAAAAAATGTTCTTGGCAAGCTTTTGGGTGCAAACACCCTGAAGAAGGGTGTTTGCACCCAGAAGCTTGCAAGGAACAATTTTTCCAACTACTTAGTGGGTCTAATAAGAAGGGTGCAGTTGGTTTAATAAGAAGTTGGTCTAATAAGAAACACCTGAAGAAGGCTGTTTGTGCCCGAAAGCTTGCAAAGAACAATTTTTTTTCCAACTACTTAGTGGGTGTAATAAAAGTTATATCGCATTTCCCCAAAGAACCTGGGTTTATCTTGTGAATCGTGTATAGGTGTCTGTGCTTCTAGCAGCGTGGCGCCCTGCAAAGGCTATCACAGCACCCCACAGCACTCTGGTTGCAAATCGCTGATTTAGCCCATTGCCTTTCACAAGTCAATCAGCTGCCTGGGTGGGGGGGGCTTTTAGTTCAGACTTTAAGAAGGGAGCTCCTATTTGCTCTGCATGGACCTTAAAGATCACCAGCCACGTTCAGCGCAGTATGGTCTGCTGCAAGTACCCCTTGTCTGCATACCCTCTGCTGTTACATGGCGGGGCTGTTGCTCACCACCCCAGAACTGAATGCATTGTAAGAACAGGCTGCCAAATACATTGGGATCCTGCTGTATCTATCCAACTACCTCCAGGGGCTCTGCTATGGGGTTTGAGCAGCGCCACACGCTCTCTACCAGGACAATGCCATGCACGGGCGGTACTTTTCACATGCAAAGTGGGAAGGTTAGAAAGCAGGATCCTGACCCAGCTCCAGTTTGACTGCATACTGCAGGTTGTAATGCAGCAGCGTGACAAATGCTTTAAATTTCAGGATCATGCCCCTCTCTTTCCTCCTCAGCAAAAGCCAAAGCCGTGGGGAATTTCAGCAGACGTGAACAGTTTGCAACCCTGTTGACAACCTTACTGACCGTCCCTGGCAGATCAACCACTTTTTGACACCCTTCTCTAGGAAGCGACTATAGAAATGATCCCTAATAGCCTAGTAGAAGTGTACTTCACTGCCAGGGATTCTGCTGCCTAATTAAAATGAACGGTGTTACATGGGCACAACTTTACCATACCCCAGGGCTGAATCAGTACCTCTGGGTGCAAATGCGAATGCACTAGGCAATGAGCAGCCCCCTGCAAGCGATTCCTTTGCTTTCGCTGGTCTTACTCTTGCTCCAAACACGACCCAAGTCCTCCTTTCCCCGAGCCCTGAAGTCACTCACAGTGCGATGCATGTATCTGAGCAGCCCTCCCCTGCTGCGAAGCAAATCCCAGAGATTAGGATGGGCAGTTGTCTATTTGCTGAGATTTTTACTGGCTCCACAAATAATCTGTCCATTACAAGGACGTGACAACTGAGATAGCCTATCCGTGCGTGTCACCCGTGGTCCCATAGATGTTCTCTGCACTTTCTGCTAGTAGGAAAGGGGAGACTGGAAGCAAGGAAGTGGGTAGGACCGTGCAGCCTCCCTTATCTATCCTTGCTGCTGGTATTTGGGGAATTCAGCCTGAACAATCACAGGGCACCAGGATCCCACCAACACCCATTGAAGTTGATGGGGATTTTGCCACTGACTCTGAGAGAAGCAGGTCCGAGCAGCACTGGGAGAGCAGGTGCTGCATATTCAACTGCAGCATACTATCATCCAAAGGGGTCTGGATGTCACAGAGGGTGCTAATTTGGGTGCAGCTAGATGCTGGGCCTGAGGGGTTGGGAAGAAACATCCTTAGCCATTGCTATTGCAAACTCCCCCCCACCGCACCAGCACGCCTCCTGGAGCAGACCCTGCTTTTCCTAGCGTATCCCCGACACGACACTAGTCTGCCCATAGCCAGAACATCTGGGTGGGGGTGAGTTTTATAGACTGCTCTTTCTCCTTGTCTAACAAGGAGCCTTTTAATTGACAACACCCTGCCACATGTCCTAAAAGCTGGAGTGCTGCGTGATTTCGCATTTCCCCAAGCAACAGGCCCATCCCCGACACGCACAAAACTCAGCAGGAACTTTGCTAGAGTGGAGATGGGGAGATCCTGGGACCTTCCCACCCCGATCTCATGCTTGATGTCTGAAGCAGATCCCCGTCCTGAACGGTGACTGTCCCAGCTACCGTTCACGCGTGTGCAGCGTCAGGGACGTGCTGTGACCCCCGCAACAGCGGAGAGGGAAAGAAAGGAAGATGCTCGTGCAGGAGCACAAGGCAGGGTGGGTTCCTAGGAGGCTTAGGCGCAGGTCACCCCTGGCTGCAGAGCTGGGACCTAAATCCCACTTGGGAAGACAACTGCGTCCGCAGTGCTTAAGAGCATCTCACGCCTCGGAAATCTCCCTGTGTACCTACATCCCCGTGCACACACAGCCAGAGCTAGTAAAGAGTTAATACTACTTTCATTCTCCGGAGTGTAAACGGTATGCTATCCATGCGCTGACGCTGTGAACTGCACAGCGGATCCGGCACGCTACTGTACAGAGCCTGCCAGAGCCCGGAGCAAGGGTTTGCTGAAATTCAGCTCCAACTCGAGTCCGTTAAGATTCAGATCCTCGTCCTGGATGGCAAGGCACAAAACCGTGGCCTCTGTTAATGGGACAACTTTGGCTAGGGACCGGAGTGGGGCTAGCCCAGAGAATACTTCCAATCCCTGGGTTATAAATGTTCTCTCTGTTTTTTTGGGGGTGGGAGGGAAAAAAAAACAACAAAAAAACTAATGCCAAAGCTTTGGGAAAATCCAGACATTTTCGTTTCATCTCCCAGCGTAGAAGCGGGCAGGCTCCGCCGCGAGACACACAACATCAGGCTGCAAAACCCAGCGCTCTGAATCTCCGGGCAGTAAATTACTCATCGAGGAAAGCGCCACGAAACAATTGCTCAAGAAGGAGAAGGGGGAAGAGAGAAGGAGAGCGTTTCAGACACTTACCAGCGCGTAGACAGAACTTAGCACGGAGCAGCAGAGGATCAAACCCAGGCTGTGATAAACCAGATATGATCCCATAGCCAAGACGCTTAGGGCAGCATCCAAGAAGCTCTCTGGGCAGCTGGGAGGAGGAGAGAAAGCTTCTTGCCGGGATCCGGGCTTGGAGAGGAGTCCTCCTTCCCCAGCGACCCCTTCAGAGGTCTGGCCGGATGGCTCTCAGCCCGAGAGGCAAATGACAAGCCAGCCCAGTCCTCCTCTTCGCCTTCTCATTGCTGAGCACCTCCAGCCGCTTCATGCATGTAGGCAACGAGTCCATGTGAAAAGGAGCAGGCTTGTGTGTGTGTGTGCATCTGTGTCAGAGCGGAGAAATCACATCCATATGTCAAAACTGCTATTCTGTTTCCTTTTTATGAGGCAGTGGGAAGTTCAAATCATTTCTTTGTCGAATGCAAACACACATAGAGAGAGAGAGAGAGAGAAATGGGAGGGGTGGGGGGGGGTTGTAGGG